TACCCCCGTGCACCAGGAGGGCAAACTGGCCTGTCCAGTCCCGCCCAACATGGCCAACTTCAGTTCCTGGCGGCTGTGTGGGGGGGTGCCCGAGGGACTGAACCCCAGAAGCTTTAGGTGTGTGTGTGTGTGTGTGTTCGTATGCGTAGGTTTGTGTGCACGTTTGTTTGTTTGTATGTATACCTGCTCTTGTGGGTGTGGGTGTGGTGTTCTTTCCAGCGGCGTCTCCGCCTCCTTCCTGCCTTCAGCCGTGCAGCGTCTCGAGTGAGAGTGAGAGTGAGAGAGAAACCCTGAGTGGTAGAACCAAGCACCTTCCCCTCCACCTCCTCGTCGTTTCACCAACCCCCTTTTCTCTCTCCCCCCCGCTCCCCCGCTCTCCCGCCTGCAGGTCAAATTTCGGCCACAACACCAACATATGGGCCGCTAAGACGACATCCGCCAGCGGCGGATCTTCGCGGACAGGGCCGGGAGCGGGAGCGGGAGCGGGAGCGGGGGCGGCACTGTTTCAGCTTGAGGGTGTGTCCGGGATATTGGCCCCCACCGACCCAGCTGACAAATACTTCCGTAAGTGAGACTGAGGACTGAGGACTGAGGAATGGCCTGACTCGGCCTCACCCCCACCTCACGCCCATGTAACCCCGGCCTTTCACCCCCACCTAAACCCAACCCACCTCATCCTCTATCCCACAGAAACCAATTCGGACGCTGCGGGAATGGGGGGCCGCATCTGTCGGGACCTGGATCCGCAAGTGCAGGTGCGTGCGTGTGTGTTAGTGTGTTATTATGTGTTGGAGTAGTATTCTCTTGTCGTACATATGTCATTTCGTTGACTCCGTTGTCTCCCTTCCCCCTTCCGAACACGGGGCTCATTTGCTGTGTTTTGATCTGTCGTCGTCGTCGTCGTCTCCTGCTGCCGCTATGTCTTTCTGGTGATCCAAACCTGAGACGTCTCCCCCTCCCCTCCCCCTCCCCTCCTCTTCAAATACCCGGCAGGTGAAGCACCGCTGCCCGTGCTCTAAGCAATCTGTGTGTGGGGAGGAGGAGCAGGAGATCCTCAAGGCGGTTGCGGCGGGGACTGTTCCCCAGAACTACGTGCTCAAGTGATAACAGAGCGGAGGGGGGGTGGGGTGGAAGGGGTGGGAAGGGGGAGTCGTGGAAGGGGAGGCGGTGATAAGAGGCGTGAATAGATGTGGAGGGAGGTTGATGCAGAGGGGGAGCGGAGGAGAGGTGGTGGTGGTGGCGGAAGGTCAGGGTCCTTTGGTGGTGGTGTTTTGATATGACGTTGGGGTTTATTTTAAAATGATTTCAGGGTTTTGGATGTGATGGTGGATGTTCATGTTTGGTCGAGCTGAAGCAGGAGGTGGGCAGGAGGTGGAGCACATCACGACACTTTCAGCAGGAGGATATTCAACAACCAACAGCGAGGAGGTGTAGTGTGCTGTTTGCTGCAACTTGCCTTGCAAGGTACACTGATCTTCTGAGTGCTAACGGGCTGGTGAAACACACGCATATCCCCGAATGCGGACATACGAATTGCAACTCGAGGATATGATTCATATTTCATTACAGACCTTTCAGATATGACGGATTGCCCTTCTTTTATCGCACCCTACAGCAGCAGCAATAGCACAGAGCAGCGTGGGATGGGCGGCGGCTGCGGCGACAGCACCGACTGGGTCCGGAATAATTGTCCTGCAAGGCGCCCGATAATAGTAATAGTAGCACTATCCACTTGCCCCCCATCCCCACCCCACTGCAGACATCTGCACCTGTAAGTACCAGCTCCGATACCATTCGGCTCCGAGACCCTTCAGCACAAAACGCGCAGCACCACAGCGGACGCGACTTCCCCCCCTTAATCCTACATCCGCCCCTCGACGGGCGACTGGATGGACGGGTTCACGGACGGACGGGGAACAGGGAAATAGAGAAACGAGGACGATGCCCTTCATCATTCCCTTCTCATAGCGGCCCCCCCCCCAGACAGCAGCGCCAACACCAAGCGGCGTCTGTCATTGTTAGGCAGCGATGCAGACGTAAACGCAACAACCTCGAGGGAGCACAGCACGCCCAACCACATCGTTTGTTGTGGAATACACCTGTCGTACATACGGGCATATCACGGGACTATTGCCGCCCATGGATAAGCCCCACATGGTCGCCGCCCACATCTACTACCGCCGCCCACTGCATGCATGCCAAGGGCTGTTGCCGAGGGGCGGAGTGGAAGTCCAGCATGCCATCTGTAACATCGCGTCGCGTCGGGCTGCGGCCACTAGTCGACCAGATATGTGCACAGCTACTGCCGCCGCTGCTGTTTCCGCCGTCCTGCCTCTTGTGGAGGGCTGATGCTACTGCCGCCGCTGCTGCTGTTGCTGCCGAGCTGGCATGTGCTTTGCTTCCTTCTCCCACATCCACCACCGCTCCTCCCTCATCCACCGCTTACGAGCCGACCTTCATGAGCTCGACATCAAAGATGAGGGTGGCACCGCCTGAAAGGTTGATCCAGAGAGAGGGGGGGTAATCCGGGGAAATGGAAAAGTCAGTAGAGAGCAGCAGCCGGGTGAGGATATCGCAATTATGTTCTGTTGCGACGGATTGCGAATTATGTTCTGTTGCGACGGATTGCGGGGAATGCGAGGGCAGGGACACATAATGAAGCAATTCTGGCGGGCGACCGGGACACAACACGTTAAATTATATATTTTAAATCATTTCCATCTCCCCCCCCGGGGCCAACGTGACAGCGGCGGCGGTTGGTTAGCAGCTCCGACACGATGAGGCGGCACAGTGGTAGTAGGGGTTGCCTTTATACATATGCCGTCTGTCTAGACATCATATTGAGGCCGGTTGGGATGGAGGGTGGGTTGGGATGGGGGGTGGGGTGGGTTGAGGTGGCTAAGGGACGAGGTTTCGAGGAACAACGGCCGAATGGGCATTTTTCCGCCGTCCGCCGTGTCCATGTCCGATATATATATATATATATATATATCGGGGGCCGCGAGCCCTTCCCCAAAAAAGGTCCCGCTTCCTGGAAACAGATTGGGTTTTAAACAGATCATCATCATCATCATCATCGCCAAGTGGGTTCATGTTCTTTGTTCTTTGACGAGTGGACGCCTCGCTGCGCCTTAAAAAAAACACCGGAAACGCGCGACACCCAGAACACACGCACCGGGGATTTTTGGTGGCGAGCCGCTGTCTCCGTAGCCCAGGTGGCTGGGGATCTTCAACTTGCGCTTCTCGCCAATGCTGGGTACGTGGGCCAAGAGGGAACACGCGTACGCCAGGGCGCCCGAGCAAGGCAGCGGGGGTAGTTGGGAATGAGTACAGCACATGGGAATAGGAGTACTCGGCAGCAAACAAACGCGGTCGGAGACTACCGCAGCGATTCGGGGGCCGCGCGTCACGTTTTTCCTTAAAGCGCGCAATACACACATGTGCTCGACACAGAACGGACTGGCGGTGGGAAACACCGAACAGAGAACAGCGCTGCCGGACTACCTAAGCAGCGTCTCCCGGCTCCGCGTCCACGTTCTGGGTTCGGAGGTGGACGGCACACCACACCCAGGCTCCGCTACCTTACCGGCGGCGGGCGCCCACCCAACCACATGCCCCGTCCCATCCCATCCCATCACGCAGACATCCGACACGACGCGCGCGGCCCCCTAGATTGTTACACAGCACACCGCCTACGACCTCTTTCCAGCCGGGCCACAGCCCCTTGCACGGCCTTTCCGCCACCGCCTTTTCTAACAAAATACAAATATATATTAAAAAACACAGGCGCTCATGCATGCACACACTTCTACATATTTCCACCTGCCCATCTCACCACATGCCCAGGAGGCCCTGGTCCCAACCCTTGATGACCTGTCGGGCACGCGGCAGGGAGGTGGATAGTGGTGGTGGGGTGCGGTGGTGGGGTGCGGTGGTGGGGTGCGGTGGTGGGGTGCGGTGGTGGGGTGCGGTTTGGAGAAAAGTGTGAAGGGGTGAGTTGAAGAGGGAAATTCGTCCGTCGGAATTCGTTCTCGCGGCAGAGCTCGCACAAGGCTGTTGCAGTGTGCTTTTTATTTTTGCAAATTTGAAATGGAAGCGTCCACTTAGCCTAAAGAAGCCTTCCAAAGCCCTACCTAGCATCTTCCCTGCCCCTGTCCCCCGGATTTCCCCCACCAAACGTCACACGTATAATGCAAATCTACACGAAGGAAAACGAACGAACGCATGAACGCAAATGCGAACAAGTTCGCTTGCACGCGCGCTCGTCACCCCCGGCCTCACCCGTCCCTCGCCCAGCGTGAAAACGAAGGGTGTTCCCCTGTCCACGGAGCTGTCGAACTTGGTGCCGTCAGTCAGGGTGCCCTGCCGCCGGGAAGAGGGCATGCGACCGCGTGTGCGTATGTTTTGTGTGTTGTGTACATGTGTGTGTGTGTGTGGCAGGGAAGGGGGATTGTCAAGGAACTCGGTTTGGTAAAGCGAGGTGATTTTGGTTAGCTGTCCCGACGTAAGAGTGGAGGACTGGGCCCCCTGAGTTGGATGGGAGAGAAGAAGGTCAAAGTGAGAAGGGAGGTTGCAATTCAAAATCTGAGGAACGGAGAAGTCAAAGCTCTGCACAACGACGCCACACACACGCGGAAGGCCGGGGGTCTGGTTGGATGGAGGGCTCGCCGGACTTTGCCCCGCTGAAGTAGTGTAGTGGAGCTTTTAGGAGAGCATATTCACAAAATCGACAGTAACATAGACATAACCACTCAGGATTCGTTGTCAAATCCGCGACGGTTTCTATGCTTTCATTGCACGACTCGGTAATGACTGTCCAAGCGGCCAAATAGAACCTTCGCACATCGCGCTTGGACATACCGTATAATGCACGTGCACGGTGTCTCCATTGCGTGTCGTCCGCTCACATTTCTCAGGCTTGAACTATGGGCAGAACAAAAGGCTCCGGTCAAGTTGTCAGATCACATGCTCCGCAAGTGCTAACCGACAAATAGCTCTCCAAACCTGCGTACCTTAACACCGATCTGCAGCTCCTTTACGTCTTTGGACTTCTTAGCGGCATAAGCTAGAGACAGGGCGCACAAAAGCAGCAGCGCGAGAAGTTGAACCCTGCGAGCCATGTTTACTGGCCTCACAGTTCTTTGCTTTGATGCGAACAAGACAATCCACGACACATAGACAATTTCCCGATCCCGTGGTTTCCTATTCCTACAAGCAGTACAACATTCTGCTGGTACGACTGCAACGGTGTCCGTCTGTCTCTGCACAGGTTGTGCATTCTCTCCAGCATCCTAAGTGCCCACGCAAGAATCTTGATTTCACTAGAAGCTCTTAACCTGCGACCTGACAGACAAGCAGTGTGCTCGCTCCAGCTGAAATGTCTGCACATGCTACATACGCGGGCTCTCTCGTGACCTCTCCAGACTTCGGATCTTGCCATGGAGACGTCTGCTGAACCCTGAACATGATAACGCTGGACAGGAGCTTGCCCAGCACGGCCACCAACTTGGGCGACTTTTTCCATGGGCAAATGGGACGAGCAACCCCTACGATCCAAACCTGAGTCCTTCATCCTTAAAGTTGGGCTCCCATCATTTTTTGAAATGGCACGCCTCTTTTTGCAATGAGCTATAATTCTCATGAATAGTGGTGAAATTCTCTCTGGTGCATTCGAGCCTCAAGCCCTGCTTGGTTCATGGCAGAACCCCATCCATGGACTGTCGGTCTGTCGCTTTCCATTATGGCCAGCCCAAAGGGCGAAACCATGAAGCCACAATGGCACGCACCTTTTAATGCCAGAGCTTACGCGGTATCTTGGATGGCAGCTGGGCAACAACAGATATACAACGAACAAGGAGACGAGGATTGTAGGAGGCAAGCTGCGTGCGTACGGCAGGTCAGGTTGCACCTCCAAATACCTCCCATCCCCAGAACCCCCCTGTTGCGCTGTTGCTGCTAGGCGGGAAATGGCCACAAGGGAACAACGGCTTTTCCGGATCTTTAACCTCCTCCAATGGGTGCAATGCAGCCAGGCGCGCTTAAGTAATGCCCGTCTGGCGATTTGCGAGTCCAGGAGCACATACGGGCGTGATGGGCGTGACGATGCCGTACGGTTGTTTTTTGGGGGGTTAGAGCTTAGGTAGCAATGGCTCTGGTGCGCTGCTGTTCCTCTGAAATGCAGATCGGGCGCTGACATCTGTTAGAAAAATCATGGTCGGAGAGGACACCTCCGTGCATTCGTGCATGGCCTCCGGCGCTAGCGGTATACACCGAGGACGACGGAACTCCAACGCTTTGCAGCATCAGGCTAAAGTTTTTTTTTTGATTTTTAGCATGTTACGAGTAACGGCTTGGGAAGAATACGGCCTGTCCTTGCATGGGAAGGAAAGCAGGAACATACAGGAAGGATATCGGGCGGGTTTACGCAAGACATGTAGGAGGCATGGATTCTCAATGGGTTCTCAGTATTGAGTAGACTTGAATAGCGATGCTGGAAGAGAGGACCTGGGCTTCAATTGATTAAGGACAACGACTGGGTACGGTATTCCAATCTTGGGTACGTTTATAAATCTAAATCCCGAAACGCTGCTCGGCCAACGAACGGATCGTTGACACGGAAGAGCATGTTTCTGCAGAAGTGTAGCTGTTATGCAACAAATAATTCATGTTTCTACTTAAGTATCTTTCAGGCGCTTGCCTTACTATCGGATAACCAGCACTGCAGACCCAGAAGAGTAACTGCTGGATTGGAAGCCGCGTGACCATCCGGCTAAGTAAAACTGAGGAATATTTGAATCACAAGTTGAGAAATTTGCTTCACACAACACGCAAGAGGAGCCACCAGCCCATCGACACGATTCTTATCTTTTAACAAACTCTGCGCCAGAAAAGAGGAGAGTCAACGTAACAAAATATATGGATGTATATGAGCCAAATCAGTGGACGTGAGCAGTTTGTGGAGTAAAGTGGTTCAATTATTTGGGGCTTGCGCAGTCTTTGCAAGCCGTGGGGGTTATAAACACGACATATAAAGTTCAAGGATGCATGCGGTAAGCGAGACTCTGCGGATATATTAACCATGCCCTGTAGCGCCGTGTGGTAAGCTGACCAGGACTTTGGTTGGCTCTCTAGCAAAGCTCCTTCCAATGTGAACTCATGGTTTGGTTGATTATTATCGTTTACTTTTACCATTTTGCATTAAAACAGGATGCGACAGGAGCAAAGTTCAGTACGAAGGACCATGCTCTTCGCGCAGAAGCTAACCTGGTTGACATTGAAACGGTGGGTTAATAACAAACGCAATCTTTTATGGCTACATGCTCGCGCCAGTTGTGGTTTCGACGCAGCGATTTATCATGAACCTCTCGCATGGAAGGCCGCCGCGTATGCATGCCACTTAACGTTAGTAAATGAAACAGAATCTTTAAACTACAAAACAGTAGCTATCGACCTCTTCTAAACAACCCTAGTACCTTCATTATATACCAACATCCCCGCAATCTGTCTGCACAAGAGCTTCTTGCCTTAGCTAGCGTGTCAATATCCTCTTAATCTGCGTATCCAGCAGCAGAAGCTCTTGAAATCGCTCAGGACGTCCAAGATCTAGTGGGTTTCCCGTGGTAGGCGCAGCAAACTGGCTAGCTGCCTGCTGGAAAGCAGGCCTGTACGGCAATCCTGAGGATTTCCTTCATAATATTATATTATAAATGATCAACGTAGTCCGTCCCCACTTGTGTGTCTGAAAATACGCACATATATCACTGGAATTCCGCCTGTCGCGCATTCCGTCCTACTAAACCGTATACCGTATACCGCATCACTTCCAGGCAGGCAGGGTGATGGGGAAAGAATTATATTTATGGAAATAAGTACTTATAATTATTATTTTTTTCAAAATGTGTCATACACACATTACAGGGTGTTTCCACTTGGCCGGACACTATCTTCGGTACACTATGTGCTAGTGTGGACTTAGTATAGTGCTAGTGTGACGGTGTTTCCACTAGCGGCACTAAGGAGCGCCGAAACCAAAATTGTTTTCGTATTATGAATGTTTTAGCGCCAGGGATTAATTGCTGATAATTAAGCATTCGCGTAGTTAAGATCCGCTGCGGCGCAACCTGCGTCATGATGTCCGCCATGAAGTCCGCATGGTGCATTGGCAACGGCCGGCCAGCGAAGGAAGGCAAACGAGCAGTATATGTTTGCTGAACGTTATTGAAGGAGGGCTCCATTGCAAAATGGCGGTGTTCTGAGGCTGTCGGTGTTGGGCGTGCGCAAGTCAACGCGGCGTTTGCAGGAAGGAAAAAAGATAGCTGCTTACGTCTAAAGTCTATGGTCAGAAGGGAAATCCAGCTCATAAAAGTTGCCCGCCAAATAGTTAGTGCTAGGTACTAAAGTTAATGGCAGGTCTGAGGTCCAAT